CATTAAAAAAAAAAAAAAAAAAAGTAGTATTTCCCTCTTATTTTTCATAGTCAGTTGTGTCTCCTACAACCAAGGCAGGACTCTAATGTGTTTGATTGATGCCATTCAGTATATATGAGATCTTACAGAGTATTTCCATTGTTTTTATGTGAATATATTTAAATTTATAGAAATGATATTATGCTATACATCTCATCCATTTTTTTCTTTCTACGTTTTATAAATCCATGTTGCTATGTACCATAAACCATTTTTATAAAAGTGGAATCAGTTTCCAAAATTTACAAGTAAAAATATTTTTCAGCAAACCTAAATTGTTGATTTCTCCTTGAGTCTGCACTCCTGTATGGCAAACAATTATAGGCGTCGTATTGACTACTACCTGAAGAAGGGAATATACTTTCTGTTTCATCATTAGGCCCTAATCACTCATTAACTGCCTCCTCTAAGCATTTTAATTTGCAGCCTCTAGAAGCTATGAAACATGAACGTGGCTCATGGGATACTGTGGCCTGTTAAACATTTATACTTTCCTTCCCTTCCCCTCTTTTCCATCTCTATCTCTAAGTCTCCAAGTTAACTTACAACTACCAATCTTCTTGGTTATTAACAAGTTTTTCTCTAAGGACAAAAAGAGACTGTACCATTCCTCTCCATATTCACATTTAAATAAGTTCAGTCCTTCGTTTCCACTATAGCCTTCTCGTATGTCTTATTTGAACACTTTTTCTTTTATCTTTAACCTAAATGTACTCTACAGTAGCTCTGTTTTATCTGCAGTTTTGCTTTCTTTGGTTTCAGATATCTGTAATCAATGGCAATTCAAAAGTATTAAATGAAAATTTGCAGAAATAAAGAATGTATGGGTCTTTAGTTGCATGCCATTCTGAGTAGCATGATGAAATCTTGGGCCACTCTATTCGATCCTGTCCAAGACATGGATCATTCCTTTTCCCAGCATCTCCAGACTATCTATGCTATGCACCTCTTCATCTCCTAGTAGGCATCTCAGTTATTAGATCTACTGTCACAATATTGCAGTGTTTGTGTTCCACTAACCCTTATTTTGCTTAATAATGGCCCAAAGCACAGGAGAGGGGATGCTGTTAATTTGGATATGCCAAAGAGGAGCTCTAAAGTGCTTCCTTTGAGTGAAAAGGTGAAAGTTCTCAACTTGAGGAAACAAAAAAAGTCATATGTTGAGGTTGTTGAAATCTATGGTAAGAACAAATCTGTTTTTGAAGTTGTGAAGAAGGAAAAACAATTGTGTTAGTTTTTGCTGTGGCACCTAAAACTACAAGTTACTGCCACAGTGCATGCTAAGTGCTTAGCTAAGATTGAAAAAGCATTACATTTGTGGGTGGAAGACATGAACAGAAACTTGTTCTAATTGAAGGCAGTCGGGTTTGGTAGTATCTGCTGTTTCAGAGATCTACTGGGGAGTCTCCAAACTTATTCCCTGCAGAAAAGAGGGCACTACTATATGCATTTTGTCCTCACTTGTGAGATGAGACTTACCTCTCCAGATATAATTTCCAGTATTTCTGTTAGAGCTCTGCCTTTTCTCACTTCTCTATACCTTCATATATTAATCCCTATTCTATAACTGCTGGTAAACCCAGAATTCTCAGCACCCTCACACATCTCCTGTTTTGAAGTACTATATACTTCAAAACATAGTGTTTTTACTATTCGTTCCTTCCTTCAATCAGTTGATCAACAAATATTAATTTAAGGGTTAAATACAGCTTGAAAATACGCTGAAGTCTCAACATGTATTAGAATCTATAATTAGTTTGAAGAATCACAGGTTGATGGCTTAAATTTATTTCCAGATTAATTTCTCTTCAGCTTATTACTATGTCAGCAAAAAGAAGTGGAAATAACATATTTAGGGTAAGGATAAGTGTGGAAACTTCTCTCTAATGTATTGCTATTTCCTTGTGGAGCCAGATCTTAAGTTTGGTAGTTATTGCAGATGATATGAATCTAGGAATCCATGAGGTCAAAGAATTCAAGGCCCTGGTTCTGCTACACTTTAAAACATCAGGATAGAGGAGGAAATTCCTTGCTGTGACACAGTTACCTATCTCTGTGTCCTATTTCCAATATGCCACTGGACTCATAGCAGGCCTGGCCATGCTAATTGTCCACAGTATGCAAGAAGTTTCTAACCATCAGAGCCTTCAGTTCTTTCCAGTTTGAGCTGAACATAGAACGTCAGTGATAGAGAGGTTGTAGAGGAGGACTTTAAATTATAGATCTCTTCCCTAAAGTGAGTACAAGGAATACAAGCATGACAATTTGTTTCATACATCTGGAAAAGCAATTTCCAATGTTAGTCATGGATCACAGGAAGCAGAGTACTTCCCTTTTATAGATCTTTGTCATGAAATAATTTACTTTTCTCATCTATCTGAAGATCTAGTATATAAAAGTCCAAAGCAACATTCAAGATGAAAATTTGCATATACCTACAGAAAAATGTCATATGCCTATGGAAAATTTTTATATACCAGTGTTGGGTTGAATTTTGATGATTTATTTTGTTACCACTGCAGTTTTAATCGACATGATTTTTTTTTTTTTGTAGTATATATAATGTATTTCTGGCATTTTAATGTTAATTTCTTATTTTTTTGGTAAGTATTGTTTAAAATAAGAAAGGCGATAAATCAATTTAACAACAGCACATATTTCTACCAACTTGTTTATTTTTAGCCTGTAATAGAATTATGTTTATGTATGTTATTTATAAATATAAAATTTTGTTTATGCTAGTTTCAAGGAAACAGGGTGCATAAATGAAGTTGTTTTTCATTCAATGCAGTGTTCTGGTATCTATTGACTACCTACTTTGTGTCAGGCACTGCACATGTTGCTACACATATTTTATTTAAACATTCAAATTAAATCGAGGTTGATGTTATTGTTTATGTTTTACAGAATAATGAGTCTCATAGAGAATAAGTAACCTGAAGAAGATTATATGGATAGTATGTGACAGAACTATAATTAAACAATGATATTAAATAAAGCCTACACACACATCCGCACACTTTGAAGACTAAGACAAATGTTTAGAACTTGGCAACTCACCTATCTGATTCTAGATCTTGCAGTTTCCCCACTTTAATGATTGTGTTACAAGAGACAACTTGCTTTGATTCCCTTCCCCAGGGTTGGCATGGAGATGGCTTTACCTAGTTTGATTTGAGGGGCAGTAGGAAGGAAGGCTTACTCAGACCCAGACTAGCTCCAGTTCAAATCCTCATTCGAAAGGCTACCATTTAAGAAATATTTCTTGGCCGGGAGCGGTGGCTCACGCCTGTAATCCCAGCACTTTCGGAGGCCGAGGCGGGTGGATCACAAGGTCAGAAGATCGAGACCATCCTGGCAAATACGGTGAAACCCCCATCTCTACTAAAAATACGAAAACGAAAAAGTAGCCGGGCGTAGTGGCGGGCACTTGTAGTCCCAGCTACTTGGGAGGCTGAGGCAGGAGAATGGCGTGAACCTGGGAGGCGGAGCTTGCAGTGAGCCGAGATCTGGTCACTGCACTCCAGCCTGGGGGACAGAGTGAGACTCTGTCTCAAAAATATATATATATTTATTAGGGTTTTTTTTTTTTTTTTTGGTAACATCTAGTTCTATACAAATCCCTTAGTAAAATATCAATGTTCTTAGAGTATTATGCTTTGAGTCAATATCAGTAACACTTTAGGGGATTTGTTGATCCAAATCATTTCCAATGGTGACAGATAACAGAGAGCACAATCCCAAAGGAGTGAGGCAAAGGATGCAGGGGAGATTTTCCCTTGGGAAGGCAGGCAGTAGGTAGTGCTGAGAGAGCCAAACAAGTGATATGAAACAGAAAATAAATTGCATTTATTTACAGCTTTATCAAACCGTATCTGCTTAATGCATAGACAGGCATCAATTCTGACCTTGGGAAAAAAACATCAGTTGATAATATGAGACTGTCAATTTGCCATAGAAATTACTTAGGAAAGTAAACCTAGTACCCTACAAAGTCTTAAGCTTGTTTTTTTGCAAAACAACAAAAAAAGCATAACCTAGTTCAGATGTGTCAGATGTGTTCTCTTCTAGTAACGTGGGCTATCTCAAGGTCAAATGAATCCCAGCAGGGAGACCACAAATACACAGCATTATAAATGACCCCAGGAAAACAGAAACATGAATATTCATCATTTTTAAGCATTTCAAGACAGCAGGAGACTATTTTCATGAGGTTGGATGACACTTTTAATGATATGACTATTTGACAGCTCTTTCATTCCAGGAAAAAAAGTTCAGCAAAGAGTCAGGGGAGTCATAAGGCAAATCAAAATCTCAAAGGAGAAATCAAACCCCAGAAGTACTTTTCAAAGAGTGGGACAGAGTATCCAATGTAAAGGTGTGTTACAATGTCTCACGTTTGATTCTAAAGTGTTATACAATCAGTAATTAAGCAACAATAATTTCAGTTGAAGGAGGACTAGGAAGATTTCAAAAAAAAGAAAGGATAAAACTGTAAAGACTTTGCTCAGCATATCTAGTTAATCAGAGACAGAATAATAATTTATAGTTTTAATTTTTATTTCCTCATCACTAGGCGATAAAATGATTGGTATTCTTTGTTGATAGCAAAATCCTAGTTTCCACTACTAATATCCATTCATCTACTTATTCCTTTGACAAGCATAAAAATATTAGCTGTACTATATGCTAAGGACTGTCAAAATCACTAGGGTTGGGGCTGGGCGCAGTGCTTATGCCTGCAATCCCAGCACTTTGGGAGGCCGAAGCAGGCAGACCACTTGACGTCAGGAGTTTGAGACCAGCCTTGCCAACATGGTGAAACCCCGTCTCTACTAAAAATACAAAAATGAGCTGGGTGTGGTGATGGGCAGCTGTAATCCCAACTACTTGTGAGGCTGAGGCAGGATAATCACTTTAACCCAGAAGGCAGAGGTTGCAGTGAGCCAAGATCACAACACGGTACTCCAGCCTGAGCAATACAGTGAGACTGAGTATAAAAAAACAAAAAACAAAAAAACAATTCACTAGGGTTATAAGAATACCAGAAGATGGGAGAGATGAACTTGAAAGCAAGATAAGGAACACAAAGTTTCGTTATTGGAGAAAGAGCCCAGGTGTAGATACAGTGAAGGAAGTAATTGAGTAAAAGGTTGGAAGCCAAGGAATCCACAGATGAAATGGTGATGAGTTTCCTCAGCATCTGTCTGGTTGCCTGCTGTGGGTGCTGGTTCTCCATACTTGTGGGAGTTATACAATATCCGGCACAAAAAGGGTCCACGTTAAAGTTTCTGTGATTCTAGCTGCCATGTATTGACTCAATGTGTTAACTCAAGCAATTATCAAATGCTGATCAGAAATGCTGAGCATTTTAACATTGTAAATGGGATCATGTTAACATTCCTGTTAAAAATTGCTTCAAAAACTTTCCATTGCACTCAGAAAAATGTTCAAACTCCTTAGTACCACCTATAAAGCCTTACGTGATCCAGTCCCTGCTACCTCTTCAATTTCATCTCATCACCCTGCCCCTGACTCTCCATTCTCCACTTTAACTACCCTCCCTTTAGTGCCTCCAAAATGCCAAGACTTCTGTATGTGCTTTTGCCAGGAATTCCCACGTCAATCACTCTCCATCTGACTAGCCCCTATTCATCTTTGCAATTTGAGTTCAAATGTCTCTTAATAACGAAGCCTCATCTATCAAGTCTAAAATAAATTACTAGTTCCTCATTATGCTATCTCATTTCCCACTGTTCTTTTTCTTCATGGCACTTATTATAAATTGAAATCATATGACAGTGTATGATGTAATTGTCTTCCATTATATCTAGAGTGTTTTAAGCTCCATGAGGACAGGGATCATGTTGCTTTTATTTACAATATAATGCTAGACTTATAATAAGTACTAGATAAATGTTTGCTAAAAGGATAAAGGACAATTATGTATAACTTTGAAAAATATGAGAAATTAATTACTATATAATGCATATAGGACGTTGCAATCAAGAGATTATTTTTGACTTGAGTTCTAAAATTTAGAATAGCAGATTCAGCCCTTGGTGACAACCATGTGGGCTAGATGACTGTGACTGTTCCTGGCACATCTGGCATCCAAAAGTGTCCAATCGCAACTCTTTGGTCCTGTCACTTTACTTCCTTGAGCCTTAGTTTCCCAAAACATTAAATGGGTGGTTGGGTTGGATGGTCTTTGTGATTTCTACATTAAAGTTTTTGTAAAATTATATTCTCATGTAGAAATTTTAGGAAAAAGTGATTTCTATGCAGCTTTTAGGATTTTAATTGTTAGCAGCCTTTGCTTATCAAGTTGCTGGTATAACGGTGAAAGGTTAAGGACTTGGGTCTATTTACTCGCTTTTCACCCATTTCCTTCCACCTAAAAAACATATCTGATTCTCTGAGCAGAGACTAGAAATATGCATGGGCAAGTACTCATAAAAAAGACAAGCATTTAACTTTCCTAATACTCTTATCACTTCAACATCTAGGTTTGGCACAGAAACACAGAACTCCTCACAACAGCTGCCTTCACTATCATGTGTGCATACCAGATAAGGATTTCTACTTTACAAGATGCTGTTTCAGAAAGTCAAACACACAGTTGCTCTATCCTCATATGTCACTGTCTTAAGAAAGTAAATATTCTGTAAATTCATTTTAAAGAATATGTTTGACTTTAAAAATAAAAAAGTTTTGATCTGTACTCACATACTGTAAGTTGCCAAAGGACACATTAAGAATGTGGGTAAAATCTCAAATATATGACACCATACTTACAAATATGCTTGTTACTGCTACAGTAAGTCTTCTGACTTTAAAAATACCATTCTGTCAATGGATGGTGCCACTGTTTCTCAAAGGGTCAGTGTTGTAGAGTATCTACCATATCATTTGGCGTGATTATACAATTACTGTTGATAAAGTTCAATTCATAGGCAGGAAATAATAGCCATCAACTAAGATTCCCAAAGACAAGTCTATTAGTAAATCTATTACCACAGCCACCTATAGTTTAGTATAAAGAAACTTTCTAAGTTGTAACATGACTTGAACTGAGAACCACAAGATGTCACAGACTCATTTTATAATCTAGGAGAAGAAAATTTTATTCCTAATTATTCCTTTATCCTGAAAGAGAGAAAATAATACCAGATACATGTCTCAGCCTTAGAAACATTCAGAATATTTATGGATTGATGGTATAGGCCCTGATCTGATGGATACTTTATGAACATAGACCTGAATAATCATTATGCATATGCAAACAATTGTCTAATAATTATTTTTGGAGAAGATATTTTTATAAATTACTATATTAGTTAAGAGCTGAAATCAAATCATAAAGAACTGGAAGTACAATTGGAGTCCAGTAAGACCCAAGACTTTGGTTTACACCGTTTCTTCTGTAGTCTGGGATACTCTATGCTCTTTCTTTTCCCAGCATGAACATCAAATGTCGCCTTCTCTGTAAAGTCTCTCTTTAATTTGCCTCCCCCAAGCAAATTGATCACTCACTCCCATACTTTTTTGTATATTACTGTAGTACTCTGCACACACGCCTATTGTAAACTTTAATTACTTTGTTGAATTCGCTTCCCTTTTGGTAGTAAGCTTCTTGAAGGAAGTCACCATCTTATTCATCTTTGTTTATATTCAACTTTATCTTAGTACTCTATGCCATGACTTAAAAAGACGAATAAAGTCTAGGCTCTGCTTGCTGGGACTTCTCATTGTGATCAGATTTTTAATAAATGTGGTTACTTGACACCTGGTATTAATTTCTTGTCAAAGATTAAAGATTATGTTCAGCAGAAAACTGACCGTGGCTCTCAGAAAAAAATAAGTAAAATGTGGTTTGTTTCCTTTCCTTTTCTCACTCTATGCCTATCTTCCAACCCTCAGGTTGTCAGAGTCTTCCGGTTGCCTATAGAGATTCAAAATCCTCACATGATTCACATAGAATAGATCTGCCCTTCCTGGAAATGTCTCAGGTCTCTTCATTTTTTTATCTAATTTTTTTCTTGCTCTAACCTGTCCCCAGTGAAGACTCCTTTTTATACATGTTTATGCTTGGTATTGATCTGATTATATGAACAAAGTAATTTATATTACACAGTAACTTATAATAAATTATTGATACCTTATGGAATATTAATAAGAGTTTCTGATTAAGAGAAAGTGTGAGCTTACAGACAGGCTATTGCTCAGTTTGATCCTGAACTACAAAGCATGAGTCCATCTACTTAACTCTCCTCTTCTGGATTCCAGGGCAGGGCAGTGAGTCCCTTGGATGAGACTCTGATCTCTCTTAGGTCCACTTTTCTGAAACAGGAAGAAAATACTCTCTGGGATTTGGTGGAATGAGGTGGCCAGAGATGACTAATTTAAAAATGAATGAAGTCTATCTTTGGTACTATGTATATTCTCTCTCACATTTTTTATATTCTTGTTTATCCTAATAATTGTTTTTTATTTTTCTAAGGAGCATGTTAAGTAGGTAATTTAAAAATTGTATGAGAGTAGAAATTCATTCTCACTCTGCTAATAAAGACATACCTGAGACTGGGTAATTTATAAAGGAAAGGGGTTTAATGAACTCACAGTTCTACATGACTGGGGAGGCTTCACAATCATGGTGGAAGACAGGAGGAGCAAAGTCATGTCTTACATGGTGTCAAGCAAGAGAGTGTGTGCAGGGGAACTCCCCTTTAAAAACGATCAGATTTCATGAGACTTACTCATTACCACAAGAACAACAAAGGAAAGACCCATCCCCATGATTCAATTACCTTCCACCGGGCCCCTCACACAACACATGGGAATTCTGGGAGCTACAATTCAAGATGAGATTTGGGTGGGAACGTGGCCAAAGCATATCAGGTTATAAAGTGTTTTCTGGGTTAAATTGATAATTTTAAGGACTAATTTATCCAAAATATCCCTAGCCTACTTATTATTTTGATGAAATGAAGTATACTTTCCACAAGGAATGTAGAAAAAAAAAAAGACTGATTTTACTAAGACAGTGTAGACAAACAAGTAAAAAGATTTATATAAGCATACATCATCCATGTCCAAATCTTGATTTTGGGTTCCAATGCAGGGACACATCCATGGACTGGTTATCTACAATGTATAGTCAGTGATGGACAGTGGGTCTATTATCCTTTTAGATTGTCATGTTTTACTTCTGCTGGATCCCCAATTACTTGATTTGTTCCATGAACTCATGAAGCTTTGGTTGACTGAAGTACCATTTGACCAAAGCAGTGGTGACTCGATTCCCTCTTCCCTAGTAAGTAGCCTTATAAATGCCCTCTGTGCTCCAGTCACTCATATAAACTCTTAAATTAAAAGTAGATTTTTGCCCTTAATTCACTCCCTCAGCTTTGTTGTTTCAAGCCTCAAAATAAGATCCACTTCAAGATGTGGTTATCTAAAATCATTATTGGAATCAATTGTTTGTTCTTAGGAAGATAGACAAACAGTAGAACAGTTTACACTACATTCATTTAGCTTTTTGTCACTTAATATATATCACATGCATTTTCTAATTGCTATGGTGTGAATGCTTTTGTCCCCTTCAAAAGTCACGTTGAAAATCCATCTCCAATGCAACAGTGTTGCAAGGTGAGGTCTAATGGGAGATGTTTAGAACATGAGCACTCTGCTCTCATGAATGGACTAATGCCATTATAAAGGGCTTGATGGAGGGATTTTGCTCTCTCTCTCTTTTCAGAGGGATTTTGCTGTCTCTCTTTTCTCTCTTTCTCTCTCTCTTTTTGCTCTTCCACTTTCTGACATGCGAGGACACGGTGTTCCTCCCCTCTTCAGGACCCAGCAAGAAGGCTCTTATCGATGCCAGTGCCTTGATCTTGGACTTCTCAATATCTAGAACTGTAAGAAAATTAATTTATGTTCTTTATACATTACCCAGTCCCAAGTATTCTGCTATAGCAGCACAAAATAGACAGAGACACCCATTTTATTTACTATTCCCATAAAATAACTCTCTTGACTGCCTAAAAATAGTGCACTGTGTAAAATAACATGCTTTATTTTACCAATCTCATAGTATTGAATATTTAGTTTCTTTCTAAATATTTGCTGTTACAACTAATATTCAGCAACAGTTTACATATTAAAATCCACTATCACCTGACCTTTGTTCCACATTCATTTTGTTGATGACTTAAGTGTCCTTTACTCACAGGACACTAATTGGAACACTAATAAAAAATGACCTTGGTTAGGAGCTGGGGATACCTTTGTTGTTCAATTATTAATTTGCCACCATCTTGGCAACTGAAAGAACATCCAGAAGCCAAAAGAAAGCTACCTTGATTTACCTTGTTTTTTTCAAGACACTTTACCATCATTCTTATTGTCCTAATAGTGTTCTTTCAAAGCTTTTCTCAGCTGACTGAAGTGGTGAAGAACCTATGAGCAGAACTCTCATTTTAATCACCTGTGACTCTGAGAGATTAACAGAGCATCCACTATCTATTAATTTTTTAAAAAGGAAATCACTTCTTAATTACAAATAGGGAAAACATTGATAGCTACAAATAAGAAAAAAGAGAACCATTTTGTCTCTGTATATCCATTGTTTTGGCCTTTATGGCTGTTTACAGAGGACTTTTATTTCCTCCCCTTGAAAAGGACCATATGCTTTAACATACAAACTTCCAGAAGGTCAGAAAACACAACACTTCCGTGGAATACTGCTTCACATAGGGCTATTTGTGTTGGAGCCAGGAAGCTTGCTTTTAAGGACCCAAGGGGACTATGAGCCTTTTCTGCTGGATGGACCTCCTGGTATTACTTTCACTGTGTTTCTGGCCTTAGCAAAATCTGGAACAGACTGCAGGCTGGAGTGTGTTGGCACATGTATGCAGCTCTACCATCTGTTTTGCTTCTTCAATTCATCAATTTCCTCTGCTTATGAGATCTCCCACCACTTAGTAAAGTTATGAAAAATATGTACTTGTCTTTAATTACTTTTACAGATCTTTTCAGAGGAAATTGTGCTGTAGTATATGAGTAATGATAAAGTAAAATGTTATTGCAAAAAAAGCAGTAAATCATTAAAATTAAATATTTAAGCTTCAACTAATTAACAAGTCCATGAAAGTTGCGGTCTTGGCCACCTAATGAACAGTTAAGGAAAGGAAGCTGCGTAGCCCTGTCCTTGACAAAGGCAGGGTCTGCTACTGTTCCGTTGCAAGCTTATTTTTTAAGTACTTTAGATTTATGTTTAAAACTCCCAAAGCCGTTTCCTCTATACATATGATTTGAAATATTTAAGCCCTAAGATGGACTGTATCTATCTCTTACAGAAGGTAGGAAATGATAACTCCCTTGAGAGAAGAACCACCATCATTTGTAATACCTAAAATAATTGGTAAAGCCTGAAAACATTTTGATGTTTTAGAAGGGATATATTTATTTTAACATGGTAATTATATTTCCATCCTAGATGACAGAAACTAAGTGCCCTTCTGCCAGGGAATTTTTCCAAACCTCTTCAATTCTTTGCGCACAACAGCCAGATGGGCAGCATCTGGGACAGAGACAGCTAGAAGAATCAGAAAAGGTGAAAGAGAGCAACTATAAAGATAAAATACAGGGCACAAAAACATATTCTGGGTCCACAGGAGTTCCCCTGTCATATTAAAAATGTATTTTAAAAGAATATTAGTACGCCACCCCACAAAACTGCCTGACAAACTGTAACTTGCCCAGCATAATGGAATCTGATGACCCTGTGGCAGAATTAGAAATACAACCTAAAATTCCGGACAAAATCATCAATTACCAGAAACTATTCTCCTTCATGTCATTTTAGTTTATTGCAAAGAATGCCTTGTGGTCACAAAAACTCAAATTATAAGGTGATTCTGAAGGCAGTTAAATTTGTATTTTTCCATTCCTCATGGAACTAAGAAAGGAAATGAGAAAAATTGCTTTTAAATTCCTTAACTATTCTGACCACTCACCAGTAATCTTAAGTAAGAGTTGACAATTCAGGCTTTAAACCTGAAGGCAACTACTCAGTGCAAATGCAACTTTTTGCAGTTCCCTTCAGATAAACAATAAACAATTTCTCTACCTGTCAACTTTTGTTGCTACAACTTGGATAAGATTGTTCTTTTGTCTATGAAGTTCATCCGATTCAAAACAAATGTATTCTATTTTTCTCCAGTGTGTCTATGATTTGTTTTATTTTATTTATTTATTTCTTTATTTTACATCAGTCTACAGAAGGTGAAAGAGACGGAGGATTATACACGGAATTCTGTTTTATTTTTTGAGAGACTTTTGTTCTTGTTGCCCAGGCTGGAATGCAATGGCTTGATCTCAGCTCACCACAACCTCTGCCTTCCAAGTTCAAGTGATTCTCCTGCCTCAGCCTCCCGAGTAGCTGGGATTACAGGCAAGTACCACCACTCCTCGCTAATTTTGTTATTTTTAGTAGAGACATGGTTTCTCCATATTGTTCAGACTGATCTCGAACTCCCAACCTCAGGTCATCCACCCGCCTCGACCTACCAAAGTGCTGGGATTACAGGGCGTGAGCCACCACGCCCGGCCTGTACATGGAATGTTTTTAAGGAGTTAGGCCTGGGTCAACAGAAGGCTGAAATAAGGAATAGACCATAGTCTGCAATGAAGAGGTGAAGAGCACAGTTTCAGGCTCCATGTAATAAAATGATTGTGTTCTGCTTAGGTATTTCTAATTAAGTGGCCTAAGTATAAGGCAATTTCTTGGGGACAGATATTTAAGAAGTCTGGAATCATCATTGAAGGAGGCTCATTGAAATACGGATTCCTTCTTCCTTTGACTGGTTTTAGACAGGTATGTGTGCTGTGCGGAGACCGCCACTGCTCTCTGCATCGACATTAGATGTTTACATATCTGTCTCCTCCACTGGACTGAGACTTTCCCAAGAGCCAGAAGTATATGTTATTAATCTTTGCTCTCTTGGAGGTCTGGCATCTCGAGAAATGAAACAGTAGGCCTTTATAAACTAAATTGAACTCCGTCGGTAGGTATATCTTAAACATTCCGTACAGCCTCTGACAGGAATGAAACAGGTTCTTGTTCAGACAGCTTCCTTATTTTTACGAAATATTACACAATTTTCAGTTTGCATAATTGTTCATGGAATTATTTGTAGAATCTGGATCCTTGATATTAAAGAACTTTCAGATTTTATTATGTTTCCACATGTGTAGGGAGAATATGGTATTACTATCCTGCTCTGTTAAGTAATTGTGAAATCCTGTTGAGGTATCCTGATTTTGTAGGTGAATGCATAGTGGATGTTGTCAAGGCACTGTTAGTGTATATCTCGTAACAATCATACATCCTGGAGAATACGGTGAAACCTCGTCTCTACTAAAAATACAAAAAAATTAGATGGCTGTGGTGGCGGGCACCTGTAGTCCTAGCTACTTGGGAGGCTGAGGCAGGAGAATGGCATGAACCTAGGGTGCGGAGCTTGCAATGGACATTGCGCCACTGCACTCCAGCCTGGGCGACAGAGCGAGACTCAGTCTCAAAAAAAAAAAAACACACACACACATAAACTGTCTTCCTGTGTCCCATTTTTAGGTGGAATCACTTTGTGGTCATGCAGTCTACACTCAGTCCAGAATTATGCTGTTCTTGCGATAGTTTGCTGAGAATGATGGTTTCCAGCTGCATCCATGTCCCTACAAAGGACATGAACTCATCCTTTTTTATGGCTGCATAGTATTCCATGGTGTATATGTGCCACATTTTCTTAATCCAGTCTGACACTGATGGACATTTGGGTTGATTCCAAGTCTTTGCTATTGTGAATAGTGCCGCAATAAACATACATGTGCATGTGCCTTTATAGCAGCATGATTTATAATCCCTTGGGTATATACCCAGTAATGGGATGGCTGGGTCATATGGTATTTCTAGTTCTAGATCCTTGAGGAATTGCCACACTGTTTTCCACAATGGTTGAACCAGTTTACAATCCCACCAACAGTGTAAAAGTGTTCCTATTTCTCCACATCCTCTCCAGCACCTGTTGTTTCCTGACTTTTTAATGATTGCCTTTCTAACTGGTGTGAGATGGTATCTCATTGTGGTTTTGATTTGCATTTCTCTGATGGCCAGTGATGATGAGCATTTTTTCATGTGCCTGTTGGCTGTATGCATGTCTTCTTTTGAGAAATGTCTGTTCATATCCTGTGCCCACTTTTTGATGGGGTTGTTTGTTTCTTTCTCATAAATTTGTTTGAGTTCTTGTAGGTTCTGGATATCAGCCCTTTGTCAGATGAGTAGATTGCAAAAATTTTCTCCCATTCTGTAGGTTGCCTGTTCACTCTGATGGTAGTTTCTTTTGCTGTGCAGAAGCTCTTTAGTTTAATTAGATCCCATTTGTCAATTTTGGCATTTGTTGCCATTGCTTTTGGTGTTTTAGACATGAAGTCCTTGCCCATGCCTATGTCCTGAATGGTATTACCTAGGTTTTCTTCTAGGGTTTTTATGGTATTAAGTCTAACATTTAAGTCTCTAATCCATCTTGAATTAATTTTCGTATAAGGAGTAAGGAAAGGATCCAGTTTCAGCTTTCTACTTATGGCTAGCCAGTTTTCCCAGCACCATTTATTAAATAGGGAATCCTTTCCCCATTTCTTGTTTTTGTCAGGTTTGTCAAAGATCAGATGGCTGTAGATGTGTGGTATTATTTCTGAGGACTCTGTTCTGTCCCATTGGTCTATGTCTCTGTTTTGGTACCAGTACCATGCTGTTTTGGTTACTGTAGCCTTGTAGTATAGTTTGAAGTCAGGTAGCGTGATGCCTCCAGCTTTGTTCTTTTGACTTAGGATTGTCTTGGCAATGTGGGCTCTTTTTTGGTTCTATATGAATTTTAAAGCAGTTTTTTCCAATTCTGTGAAGAAACTCATTGGTAGCTTGATGGGAATGGCATAGAATCCATAAATTACCTTGGGCAGTATGGCCATTTTCATAATATTGATTCTTCCTATCCATGAGCATGGTATGTTCTTCCATTTGTTTGTGTCTTCTTTTATTTCACTGAGCTTTGTAGTTCTCCTTGAAGAGGTCCTTTACATCCCTTGTAAGTTGGATTCCTAGATATTTTATTCTCTTTGAAGCAATTGTGAATGGAAGTTCATTCATGATTTGGCTCTCTGTTTGTCTGTTACTGGTGTATAAGAATTTTTGCACATTGATTTTGTATTCGGAGACTTTGCTGAAGTTCTTATCAGCTTAAGAAGATTTTGGGTGGAGGTGATGGGGTTTTCTAAATATACAATCATGTCATCTGCAAACAGGGACAATTTGACTTCTTTTCCTAACTGAATACACTTGATTTCTTTCTCTTGCCTGATTGCCCTAGCCAGAACTTCCAACACTATGTTGAATAGGAGTGGTGAGAGAGGGCATCCCTGTCTAGTGCCAGTTTTCAAAGGGAATGCTTCCAGTTTTTGCCCATTCAGTATGATATTGGCTGTGGGTTTGTCATAAATAGCTCTTATTGTTTTGAGATACGTTCCATCAATACTGAATTTATTGAGAGTTTTTAGCATGAAGCGCTGTTGAATTTTGTCAAAGGCCTTTTCTGCATCTATTGAGATAATCATGTGGTTTTTGTCTTTGGTTCTGTTTATGTGCTGGATTATGTTTATTGATTTGCGTATGTTGAACCAGCCTTGCATCCCAGGGATGAAGCCCACTTGGTCATGGTGGATAAGCTTTTTGATGTGCTGCTGGATTAATCTGTCTAATGTTGACAGTCAAGTGTTGAAGTCTCCCATTATTATTGTATGGGAGTCTAAGTCTCTTTTTAAGTCTCTAAGGACTTGCTTTATGAATCTGGGTACTCCTGTATTGGGCACATATATATTTAGGATAATTAGCTCTTCCTGTTGAATTGATCCCTTTACCATTATGTAATGGCCTTCTTTGTCTCTTTTGATCTTTGATGGTTTAAAGTCCATTTTATCAGAGACTAGTATTGCAACCCCTGCTTTTTTTTGTTCTCCATTTGCTTAGTAGATCTTCCTCCATCCCTTTATTTTGAGCCTATGTGTGTCTCTGCATGTGAGATGGGTCTCCTGAATACAGCAAACTGATGGGTCTTGAGTCTATCCAATTTGCCAGTCTGTGTCTTTTAATTGGACCATTTAGTCCATTTACATTTAAGGTTAATATTGTTATATGTGAACTTGATCCTCTCATTCCTCTCATTGTGATATTAGCTGGTTATTTTGCTCGTTAGTTGATGCAGTTTCTTCCTATCATCAATGGTCTTTACATTTTGACATGTTTTTGCAATGGCTGTTACTGGTTGTTCCTTTCCATGTTTAGTGCTTCCTTCAGGGTCTCTTGTAGGGCTGGCCTGGTGGTGACAAAATCTCTAAGCCTTTGCTTGTCTGTAAAGGATTTTATTTCTCCTTCACTGATGAAACTTAGTTTGGCTGGATATGAAATTCTGGGTTGAAAATTCTTTTCTTTAAGAATGTTTAATATTGGCCCCCACTCTCTTCTGGCTTGTAGAGTTTCTGCCAAGAGATCTGCTATTAGTCTGATGGGTTTCCCTTTGTGGGTAACCCGACCTTTCTCTCTGGCTGCCCTTAACAGTTTTTCCTTCATTTCAACTTTGGTGAATCTGACAATTATGTGTCTTGGAGTTGCTCTTCTTGAGGAGTATCTTTGTGGCATTCTTTGTATTTCCTGAATTTGAATGTTGGCCTGCCTCGCTAGGTTGGGGAAGTTCTCCTGGGTGATATTCTGGAGAGTGTTTTCCAACTTGGTTCCATTATCCCCCTCACTTTCAGGCACATCAATCAAATGTAGATTTGGTCTTTTCACATAATCCCATATTTCTTGGAGGCTTTGTTCATTTCTTTTTCCTTTTTTTTCTCTAGACTTCTCTTCTTGATTCATTTCATTCACTTGATCTTAAATCACTGATACTCTTTCTTCCAGCTGATCGAGTCAGTTACTGAAGCTTGTACATTTGTCCCGTATTTTTTGTGTCATGGTTTTTATCTCTGTCAGTTCATTTATGGCCTTCTCTGCATTGATTTTTCTAGTTATCCATTCTTCTATTCTTTTTCAAGATTTTTAGTTTCTTCGTGCTGGGTATGTAATTCCTCCTTTAGCTCTGAGAAGTCTGATCAACTGAAGCCTTCTTCTCTCAACTCATCAAAGTCATTCTCCGTCTAGCTTTGATCCGTTGCTGGCGATGAGCTGCTTTCCTTTGGAGGGGGAGATGCACTCCGATTTTTTGAATTTCCGGCTTTTCTGCCCTGCTTTTTCCCCATCTTTGTGGTTTTATCTGCCTTTGGTCTTTGATGCTGGT